CATTCCAAAATCAATTGGTGAGCCTGATATTGTTCATATAGTTGTGACATTTTGCTTATTATATATATTTGACATTTTGATAAAATTGAATCCTATGGGGATAAATTATAAAATAATGGATGAATCAGGCATTTACAAGCTTCAAACTTCTAAATGTATTAAAAGACCATTACAAGGAAACAGATATGAGGAGTTGAGCTTCATGAAATGGAGTGAGCTTGAAGTTATGTGATTTATAATTACGAGAAAGTAAATGAGTTTATAAAGTAAGTTTTTTATTTTTAAATTCCTTTTATCTATTATAAAATTTGATTTTTATGCATATCTATTTTTACATTTAAAATTTTAACCATTTTTTAAAAGTTTCTATGTGAAAGAATTGGATTTAAAGAATGTAAATAATGTTAGAGTAAAGGTTCACATGTTAAAATAGAGTTAGGAGATGTGTAAAGATCCCACATCTAAGACAAATAAGATGTTAAAGTGCAATATATATGTAGAGACTCATGAACCTAGAAAGCATGTCATTTGGGTTAATTATGGCATCAACTCATATCTATTCATGTTAAGCTTATTCAGTTAACTACCTAACAGATAATGTGGCACTAAAGGTTGAGAAAGAATTTGATCTATGGTTCAAAAATTACGTAAATATTTTAGTTTTTAATGCATTGATAATTTTGCTTATTATATCATTATTTTAATGAAATACATTGAATTTATTTCTGTTATCATGATAGCATTGAATATAAATCAACTAAAAAAATGTCCATTTACATGTAAATAGTTCAAGTTGGTGAACTTGAGAAAAATAAAGTATTTGAAGGTATCTACATGTTTCTTTAATATATTGATATACTCATAAACTATTGAACTTTATTATTTTAATGTTATTGAATTTTACTTCTAATGCAATATTTTTATTTATTTATTTGAATTTTGAAGATCAATTTTTTTTAAGTAGAAATATTTTGAAAACTAATTTGCATTGAATAAAGATGGAGAACTTTGTTTGTTTGTGACATTGGTTTTGAATTAATTAAACTTTTGTTAAGTTTGAGTTGTAAGAAACTAAGATTCAACATTTTATTATGTATATAATTAACCACACAAAATTAGAATAAAAGGATTCTCGGCGATTGTATGTGATTTTTTTGGCATTCAAGCATTTACATAGGGTCAAATTGTTACCATTTAAAAATTTACATGCATGACATTTATATGATTTTTTGAAATTTATAATAGAAAAAACTAAACCTTAAATTAATTACTTATACATCATTTATTCACAATTTTGTGAGGTTTTTTTTTTTCGTTGCTTTTCATTTTTTAATCTCGTCCATAATATGGAATTGTCAAACCAATTTGCTTACAATGTTCTCCTAATAAGGTTTTGATAGGAAAATTATTATATTCAACTACTTTTGTCAATAATAGTGCTTTTTTTTTTTTCAAAACCATTGGTAAGTGTACTTCTTGATCTAATATGAAAAATACTATTTATAAATTCTTCTTGAATTCTCTTTTTCTTTTACTTTAGGTTTTATGTTTAAAAGATATATGAACTCAGGTACATAATGAGAAACATGAAGTTTTAACTAATAGAAGAGTAAACAAATATATAAATTATCATAGTAATTATTGGAAATTTTGCATGAAGGAGTAACATATGAAGTTGAAAACAAAAAATAGTAGATTATTTGTCAAAAGGAGTTAGAGGACTCGATTATTATGGGTTACTAAATGAGATTATTGAACTAAATTATGGAGAATATTGTTTGATTCTTTTCAAATGTGATCGGTGGGACATATTTAGTAGAGGAAGAAGAAAAAGGATGTAAAGAAGACCAATATGGGTTCAAAGTAATAGATGTTACACATAAGTTTCAAACTAATAAATGTTATATATTGTTTATTTGTGTACATACAACAAGAATATTAATCATTATATTATAGAAATAAAACTAAAATCAAATTATTGAATTAGAAGATTTTAAAGGTTAAGAACAAAAATAAAGCTGAATGACATGGGAACATTCTGTAATGGTTTCCTTTAAATTATACTAGTTTGTCTAATATGATCGATGATTAAGTAACATATTTTTTATAGTTAGTTAAAGGTTATTTAATTAAAAGAGTTTTAACTTAAATTAATAATAAATAAGTGTAGAAAATCAATTTTAAGTATGAAACTCTCAAGAAAAAATTCATACAAGAACTAGAAAATTATTAATAAGAAATAGAAGTAAAAATAATTTAATTAAAAGATAATACCTCTAAAGCCTAATGAATCAATAAATACTCTTTTGCATATAAATCCATTCATGTGATCACATTCAATTTTTTTTTTTTATAGAAATTCACTCCTAACCATCATTTGTCCATCTAAGTCAAAAAATAAAAATAAAAAACAAAAAAAAAAGAAAGAAAGAAGAGAAGCCAAATTCAAGAACTACTTTATTTAAATCAATATCATGATTATAAATACAATTAACTTCCTCAATACAATAATATGAGGTCTCAATTTCAAACAAACCAAGCTATATTCAAGTACTATTCTACAAAAATTAATAACATGAATGTATATAGAATTAATTTCCTCAATTCAGTCATTCCATTTATTCAAGATTTACTAATTGATAGTTTGCTTTCACGTTATGCCTATTCAGTTAAGGACTTTAGGAACAAATCATAGTAGAGTGAACTTTCTACATACATTAAATATCAATAAACTCCTTAGAATACCTATTGCATCAAAATGTAATAACAACCATCTCTATTAGTGAGAACCATATGATGCCATAACAATAATCTTAAATTGTCCAATAGGAACATATATCATTGACATGGGGCATCAATAATATAAAAACTATCATGTGTGATACTTTACTAGGTGGTAAGATTTCTTCTAATGAATTCATGCATCACAAGTGAGTGACTCAAAGTAAGTGAGTGCACAGGACTAACCCACCACAAGAACTCTACAAGTATGTGTCATTAGCAGCTTCTCAATTATGATGTGAGTATAAATGATCCTTTGACTTGCGGTCATCATTATGTTATGTAAGGACTTGTGCACTTTGATATGTTAAAAACAACCAATTTGAGGAGTTGTGAGTAAAATAGTTATTGGGTGCATCATGAATCACATGAGAATAATGGATGAGTGAGGATAGGATTCGCCCTTTTTGAGTTTATGAGAAAAGATGTCTTTGACTCTTTGATCAAGATAAGACTATCTGCAAAGTCCATGGCCATGAGATAAATAAAGGTTCATTCAAAAGTATGCCTATTGTGGGAATCAAAAGAAGACACTTCAAGCTTGATGGAGATATTAGTGATGAAAGGATTAAATTACACAAGTGCATCAGTTGTAGGAAAGTTCGTCGAAGCCATAGACTCCTTCTCTCACTTTGGGTAGCTGTTATGTATTGCTAAATACCACTCTTGGTTTATGAGTATTTCTTATTGCTCGTGATAAAAATCTAGAGGGTCACAAACTTAATGTAACACCCATATACTTTAGTAAATAAATTAGAAATTAGACTATTTTATTTTAAAGTTTTAGGAATTAAATTGATTATATTAGAGTTTGGAGGTTGTAAATGAAATTTAAAAGGAGTTGAAGGATGTTTGATTCAATTATTTTAATTTTGTGCCAAGTGGCACTATATCAACCGAGTAGAACAATTTGTCAAACTTAGAAGGCTTTACAAAGCCCGTGAGTCTTGCTGTAGAAGATTTAGGAACAAAGAACCATTTCTTTGTGTCTTTCCTTTTTCCAGCCAATCCCATGCACCTTTCGTTCTTGTTCTAGTTGAGTGTAATGTGTGGGACACACTCTTCAGTTGAAATTACTTTTAATTTCTATTATTTGCCTCAACTTGATGCTTTGATTACCATAGGTAAGTATGAGTTTTAGTTGTAGATTTGGATTAGAGTTTTGGGTAGATTATAGATTTGTTATAATATACTAAAAATTAGTTAAAGTTAGTGAAATTTGATTTTAAATCCTTTGTTTAAAAGATTTTTGGGTATTAGATGTTTGTTTAGAAATATTTGGATTTTTTTGGTATATGTACAATTTTCAATTAAAAGTGAGTTTTAATTTTAAGCTTGAATCTTGTATGAATTTTATTGGTTAATTACTTATTATTGTTGTTTTGGTATTTCTTGTATAATTGTGTGAAGGCTTTTGGGGATTGTATAATTGTGTGAGGGCACTTCCTCAAAAACCAGCCAATCTCTTCGTTTGTAAGCTTAGGTGGCGTGGATTTTATACCTAATTGTGTTTTTTTCTCGTTTCTGTAGGCATGAAAAAATTCACGAGTCTGTTTTGTAAAATTTTTTGTACACTAAAAGTGGGTAAAGATATATACCGGCCGAAATTTCGGAACACTATATTTTGCTTGGTACGGTCGAAAATTGAAATGGTATGGTATCAGACGAAAATTTAGGTACTGGTTTTTTTTTGGGGTGGGGAAAAACCAATGTTGGTTAAAACAGAAATCGGTTTTAAAATAACCAATTTTTTTTTTTTTAATTTTGAAAATCAAAATTAAATCAAAATTTTTACAAATCAATCGGTTTGGTTATTAATAAATTAGTTCGGTTTTAATTTTTACTAAATAAATATTAATAAATTATTTTTTTAATCATAAATTATATTTTATCACATATTTTATTATATTTATTTTAATTTTAATTTTCAAAAGACTTATTTTTTATTTTTAATTTTTAAAAGATTTAACCAAAATCAAATCGAAATTATTTGATTAATATTAAAACCAAAAAAATAAAAATAAAAAATCATTAAAACCAAATCAAATTCATTTTTTCGATTCATTTTTCCGATAATCCATCAGCTCGGTTTCAAATGCCCAGCCCTAAGTTTTTTTTTTATCAAAATTGGTACAACCTTGTTGATGATACCTTACCCTCGAACTCACGAAACGCACGAGATTCTTTCTTTAAATTTCAAAAAGCCCCCGCACCAATCCCAGAAAAATGAAAAGCCAAAGTTTCTTTAACAGCAGAAAGCAAAAGATGTGGTCTGGCATTAGATTCTTGACAGATCTATATACAAAGATGATATTCACTCTCATTCCAACCAAATCAAGTCTGAATCTTACCCAAATCCCACAATCTGCAGCCGTATTGTTGCATGATCCGGGGGATTATGGCCAGTTCCAGCGGCACGTCCCGCTCGTTGTTGCAGCGGAAGATGTCGAGGGCGCAGGCCATTATGCTCGACCTTCCAAACAACGGCAAGGCCACCGTCGATACTGAGATCGTGCCTTCATCCTTGGCGCCTATTGCTCCTATTCTTCGAGTTGCCAATGAGATCGAAAAGGATAATCCCAGGGTTGCTCATCTCTGTAAGATCTAGTTAGTCTAAAATACACATTGTCATGCCTTTACTCACCATTTGTTTTTTTATTTTAAGATTTATCAGGATATTTTAGATGAGAAATATAGTTTTCAAGGCTTATGTATAAAAAGATCTCTATTTTTGTATATATATAGAAAAGTGCATATTAGTTCAAACTCTCAAAAATATTGGGGTCCCAAGTTTTATTTAATTAGAAATCAGTTCAAAATTTAAAAATTCTTCTTGATATTTATATTTGAAAACTAATTTGTTATAATATATAATCAGTTTTCAAATTTAGATATCAACATCTAATAGAGTGGATTTTTGAAATTTAAATTGAGATTTTCGAATCTAAATGTAAGTTCATTTTTTTTTTTATTTAAGTCAGATAGATACAAACCTCATGTATATATACATATATATATTCCTTCTAATGAATGTACGTGTGTCCTTCGTGATTATTAAAAGTAACATTTTGTAGGAGTTGAAGGGCCTGGATGTTATTGTGGATAATATAAGAAATTTTTAGTAATATATACCTTGCTCCTGATAGTCATTTGTTTTTTTATCATTTTGTTGGCTATAATAGAAATTGGCAAGAATTGTTACAGATTCTTCAAAATACTCATCATATGTAATTTCTTTTTTAAAATAAGAATTTAAAATTATGCTTGATAGCTAATATTTGACAAATCTCAAAGACAATGTTCATTAGGGCAGCTTCTATTTCAAGGAAACTGGCTAGAAAGTTTCTGTTTGTTTTTACTGGTGGAGCTATGGGGACTGGATTAATATTTTCAGTTTAATATATCAAATTGATAATGTCTCATGTCAAGTGCCCATCAAAGTGACTTGCTGAGTTGCTGCAAATTCTTTAATTGTATGGAGTATTTAATTTATGGATATGTCGGCTTTTGTAAATATTGTGGCCTTTGCAAAAACTAGTTACTAATTATATCATAAGTTGCGCTCTTGATGCCTGGCTTATCATGATCTTACTTCCACTAAGCAAATTCTGGATGCCTCTCCTTTTGCCATCTTTAGCTGGGTTTAATATCTAGCAGCTCATCCACTTGCTCCTTATACAACCTTGATTGCAGGATATATTCCTAACATGATCCTATAAAGTTCCTACATTTCTGCTTTTCCTTAAAGCAAAATGACAAGGCAAAGAGAGAACTGCTTACTGTGTTAGAGCAGTGTTGTTTCTTTAGTTGCCTTGAACTTTGTTTTGTATTAGGAGCATAACAAACTTCCTAGAGAGAAGGCATCCTAATTGCATAGAAAAAAAAAAAAAAAAATTTACTTCCCCTGATATAGCTTTATTTTGTTTCAACAGGCCATGTTTATGCCTTCAAGAAGGCCAAAGAGATGGATCCAACATCAAGTGGGCGTGGTGTTCGCCAACTCAAGACATATCTAGCAAATAAAATAGAAGATGTAAAAACTTACAACACTAACGTTTTTCTAATAAAGGTGTCTTTTGATGAAGAATGGTTCTTGTTTTTAGCTTTGCATGTTGCCTTACTACCATGTGGAGTTTAGCTTTGAGTTCTTTTTTGACACCTCAAATAAAAGTGATCCTGAATGTGTTTTGTCGTTTGTACCCCTTTTTCTCACAATATTATGTTTTTGTTGGTATAAAAAATAACTTTAATGTGTTTTAATATTTTAAATTTTAAATTAATCTGTAACATAAACTGAACATAAGATTAATGCTATTCGGGCTCTCTCATAGAAAATTAATTTTGAAGTCATTTTTCTCGACATGTCATGTTATAGCTCATCATGAATCAAAATAACAAAGGATATGATGGTTCTCTTTGTCTTTTCAGGAAAAGGATGAACTGCAACTTCAAAGAACAGATCAAATTGAAATCCAGTCATTTTACCAGGAATTCTATGAGAAATATATCAGAAGAAGCCAAGATACTAAAAAACCGTGAGGCCTTACCTTGTACCATTTAGTCTAGAACATTTTTTGTTGTATCTTATTGATTTTTTTTATGGTCACTCTTAAAGGGAGGAGATGGCAAAGTTCTATCAAATTGCCATGGTTTTGTATGATGTATTGAAGAATGTGGTACCTAGTCCAGCAGTGGATTATAAGGTTTGATCATATAATTTCAATCTCCCAAAATTGACTTAAAGAGAGCGTTTATGCTGAAGTAGGTAATTTATCTAGTTTATTTTGATGCAACAGACCAACAGATATGCAGAAGAGCTTAAAAGCAAAAAGGAACAGTATGAACACTATAATGTTCTTCCTCTATATTCTGTTGGAATTAAACCAGCAATTATGAAACTTCCTGAGGTTGCGTATTATGCAGTATATCTAATCTTAATATTTCTGGTTCTCAAAACTACTTGATCTACTATATATATATAACTGCTGGATCTACTAATGTTGATATCTTTTTGCTTAATCAGATCAATGCTGCATTTCAAACCATACGCAATGTGCAGAATCTCCCAATGCCAAGAGCTTATGTAACCTTCATCAATGACATATTTGATTGGCTTTCTTCTCTTTTTGGCTTTCAGGTACTGTTTCACATTCTTTCTTTTATTTTGATAAGAGCATCTTATCTGTGTCATCAGCTCAGTGTCTGTTGTTCCTAAGTTATACATCAGCCCTACAGAATATCCTCTGCCACTGCTTGCTTCTTCTTCAACTCCTGATAAAGAATAACTTGGATTGGAAAACTCTTTGGCTAAAATTTTAGTCATTTGTTCACTTCTTTAATTTTACTTCCAATGTCTCTCCTTAGCTTCAGCCAACTGAACAAAATTTACACCTTGCTTTGTGCTATTAACTTTCTTGTAAATACTGAAAATATTGAAGAAAAATGGAAGAACAACTTGTGTAGAAGTTGATTTTTTGAAACATTTTTATCATCTGATATTTTAAACAAAATGGAAGCTTTGAAGTTTTGCCTTTTTGAGGATGCATTGATGATTTTTATGCTGTTTGCCGAGAGATGTGAACAAGGAAATCATAGTCCTTATTTGCACAATGAAGTGTACTTCCTTTTTTCATGGCCCTGATCTAATACATTTTCACCATCAAGGGAGGCCTTAGTGATGGATGGATGAGCAGATGATTCTCCTTCAATAACATTTGTTAATTATTTTTATTTATGTATATCAGAGTAGGTTTTGATAAAAAAACACTAATTTATCTGACCACATGGTGTTTTTGAATCTTTTTTGGAATTAAAGAAAGGGAATGTTGCAAATCAGAGGGAGCACTTAATATTGCTACTTACCAACCTTGATATGAGGGCCAAGGATCATCAATCATACTATGAGGTGAATCATTACTTCTATAAGCCTGCTTTATGGTTTTTTGCACTTCTTCTTCTCTCAGTTAACATGGTTTGCTTTTTGCCAGCTGGATGGTATCACTGTAAAACAGTTGATGGATGAAATATTTGAGAATTATATATCATGGTGCAACTATTTGCATAAAAAACCACATATTAGGTAAGGTATCATATTGCTAGAGTATATGCGAAGAAACTTTTAAGTTAATAAATGAACTAAAATCATCGAGGAAAATGATTTTGCATCTGTCTGAATGAGTTTTCTTCTTTTTAGGTTTGACCAAGATTATGCAGAACAGCAGATACAGCTAGTATATATTGCACTTTATCTTCTTATATGGGGTGAAGCTTCTAATATTCGCTTCATGCCTGAATGCATATGCTATATCTTTCACAATGTATGTTTTCTCTTAATTTTGATGAACTGCTATCATGATTTTGAAATGATTTACTTATGTGGTGCGGGAATCTTTTTCAGTATCAAATGATGTCTTTTATCCTCGCAATAATGTCTTTCCACATTTAACTACATTTGATTAGCTTTGTTTACTATTCTTACTACCAAATAAGGAAAAGGAAGTGCATATTAGGTGATCCTTTCCAGTCATCAACAATATCATTCAACCTGGTTGTCTATTCTTGCATTGACAGCCTAGTTTAAGACACCCACAAAAAAGAAAAAGAAAAATGATTGGTAATGAGATTAAGGGTGTGTTTGGGATTGCTGTGAGGTATTGAGGCTGTAGTTGTGGTTGTAACTGTGTTGAACTGTGCTGTGCTGTAGTTAAGGTTGAAAGTTATTTTAGTGTTTGGTTATTTATTTTTAAAAAATATTATTTTAGGTTTCGTATGATGGGTGTTTTTTTGAATTTTGTGGGAGAGTAACTCATAAAAAGGGAATGAGTTTTTAATTTTCTATAAAATCTTCAAAAAAAACAAGATACCAATTTTAAATAAAATATTATAAATTATGATGTAATTGAATTAAATAAGATTTGGTTTTAATGGATAATTTTGCAATTGTATTAAATATTAGGTGTTGTTTGTGAAAATCACAGCTAACAAGCTCTAAAAGGAGGCTTCTGGCTTTACATATAAAACTACTATAGATCCATTGTGGCTTTCTTTCTATAGCTTTTAGAAAAAGTAATCCAAAAAAATTACCAGACATACATCTATCTAAAAGCATTGTACAGCTGCAAGAAAAAGCTCTCAACCGCAATCTCTAATGCACCCTAGAAAAGGTATGGTATAGACAAGCAAAAATGTCCAGTCAGGTTGTTCATATAAAATAAAACAATTTAATGTGAAATATCTTTCTCTCAAATGGATTATGGGAATTTCAGGCCCTGCATTCTGGTCAGATACAGAAAAGATGTAACTAAACTTCTTGCATCTGTTTGGTGATAAAAATAAATATATGATTAAATAACTAATATTTGTCACAGATAAAAGCTCATGAATGATAACATATTTTTTGGTTTTCCTTTTTTGGGAAAAGATAAATTTTCTCTTTTTTTTGAAGCAATGAATGAAACTGGTACTTGAATAATTATGTAATTTATGTGATTCAGGTCATTTTTAGAATTTTTTTGGATCATGATCACTGAATACTGTGAACATTGTCTCTGTTTGTGATGCAAGTGACATGTTTAGACTTTTTGGTCAATGGTGATCACTATTGATATGTTATTAGCTTTACATGTTAAAACCTTCTTCTCTTTCTTTTATTTTCTTTCCTTTAGGGTTGAGAGCATATTTATGTAACCAGTTACTTGTTTACTGATTTTGTAAGATGGCAAAAGATGTTTATGAAACTTTATCTAGAAAGGAGCATCCAGTCAACAGTCCAAACCAAACAGTAGCACCTAATGAAGAATATTTTTTGAGGACCATTATCACACCTTTATATCAGGTCCTGTTTCAGGTAGTTTTTAGTTATTTTATTATACTAGACATGTTACTTGTTCCTTCCTATCTGTCAAAAATTTTCTAGCTAAAAGTTGATATAATTCTTGAGAAAGGAAGCTAGCAAAAATAAAGAAGGCAGGGCAAGCCATTCTGTTTGGAGCAACTATGATGACATAAACGAGTTCTTTTGGTAAGTTTCTCCAATAATGAACACCATTTTGTGTACTCAAGTCAGATAATTAATTGATTTCTAGATAATCCATTCATCTGTGTAGGACTGAAAAGTGCTTTAGGATACATTGGCATAGTGTCTTTGAAGGATATCTTTCAGTGGATCTAGCTGAGGGACAACTTAGAAAAGAGGTATATATTTTATTTTTCCAAACATTTATTTTATTTTATATTTTGGGCCAACACCAAACTTTTAGATTTGAAGCATACGGTATGGTTATATGTTCAGTCTTTATTATTTTTCAGAATGTTGAACATCTTTTGGGAGAAAACTCTTAGTTAAATGGTTGTAGGCAATCACAACTTATAAATGTAGATACTTTGTTTATATTTGTTTTCCTTTTAATTCAGCCTTTAGTCAAAATATTATTATTAATGGAACATTATTTGCCTCCCCCTCCCTCCCAAAATGAATTTTATAATAATTGATAAATGTACATTGGGTTTGCAATAAGGCATCCATAATGGTTAACAATCTTCTCTCGTGGAATCCTGGATAATTGGAAGGACTAAGAATGATCTTTGGACTGATTGGAAATGTATTTTGAGAAGCTACTTGATATCTTTTTTTGTCTTTTATATTCTGATGATGTTTCAAGCTACTTTCTTAATTAATATCATTGTTTGTCTTTTAAATTCTGAATATGATTTTTCTCTATGTTGAATCAACTTTAATAGCTTTATGTCCTGCACAATCTCTTCTACTTTTGAGCCTGTGTTGTTATTGCATTATTTGCTTTTGTCAAGACTGCAAACACAATTAATTTGGGCATGCAAAACTTTACAATTATGTTGTTTTTCAGTTGAGAAATTTAGGATTTGACCCTCTAAACTATTCTTGTTCTTGATGAGGCAAGTTATATTCATAAATCTAAATAATCTCTAACATTTCTTTTTAACCTAGTTTGCTTTCTTTAGGTTTGCTTAAGATCTGACTGCAAACTGTTTAACTTCAAAGCTTAAGCTAGTAGATGATGGTTCAAGAATAATTTTAACTTTTAATCTCTAAAAGACTAGACATATGCAAGTTCGTTGGGCTTTACCATTGGATGTAAGCACTGAATTATCCATACCTTGTGTTAAAATTTTGTTTAAAATATAAAATACAAATATGGAGGCTTCTATAATTTTAACTTTGGAGTATAGGTCAAGAAGAAAATGGTAAGAACTTTTCATTCTGAAAGCCTAAGCATATGGGTAAAGAGCCAAAAATAAGTTTTAATCTTTAACATCATGTTGCAGATTCTTGACCAGATCAGTTCTGGAAAATTTCATCAGAAGATAAATTTTGTTGAAGTTCGCACATTTTGGCAGCTCTTTAGAAGTTTTCACCGGATGTGGATATTCTTCATAATGGCTTTTCAGGTGGCCTAAGGCTTTGTTTACTGTTATTAATTTTTTACTACTCTCCATAAAGAATTAACTGCATTTGTCAATGATCTTATGTTCAGGCTATGCTAATTGTAGCATGGACACCTGCTATTTTTGACAAGGATGTCTTAAGGAGAGTATTGAGCATTTTCATCACTTCTGCTATTCTTAATTTTCTACAAGGTATGAGTAGTATTTTTTATGTGCGGCTTTTGTTTTTTTATAGGTTTTTGGAAGATTCAATTCTAAATCTATCATAAACTCAGTAACCTAATACAAACTGACACTTGTATAGAAAACCTAAAACCCTAGTTAGACTCTAATAGGTCTGAAAGATATCAAATCTTAAACAAACTAGAAGCAAATTCAAATCTTAATAAATTTATAAAATACTAAACCTTATATAATTAATTCAAATAACATCATATCACACAAATTAATTCCTAAATATTCATAATTTTAATAGAATCCTAGATAATATAGGCATTTCTAGCTTGATTGCATCAGTTAGTCTTCTGAGCTTCAATTTTTGGCAGAGCATTTATTAGTAAAATTCTACATATATTAGTATTTTATGTGGCCTTATAAATTGGATGGCGTCTTCACCTATTCCCAATTGGATTTAGGTTGAATGCCTTGACATAAATTAATTGTGTTAGTTTTCCTATTTTACTAGTATAGCTAAAGATTGTCTTTAAAGATTTGCTTGATCTTTAATATTATTCTTGTGCAGTTACTGTGGATACAGTTCTTAGTTTCAAAGCTTGGAGGAGCTTTGAACTTTCTCAAACAGTACGGTACCTTCTGAAATTGGTCATTGCAGCTTTATGGGCAGTGGTTTTGCCAGTGGGTTATTCAAGTTCTATGCAGTACACAGCTGGATTCATGGAGTCCTTTAATCGCTGGATTGGGCATTTTCAAAACCCGTCTTTATATAATATACTTGTCTTGCTATATTTGGTTCCTGATGCATTAGCTGCGGCATTGTTTTTCTTCCCATCCTTATGGGACAAAATGGAGCTCTTAAATTGGCATATAGTTAATCTTGTTATGTGGTGGGCTCAGGCAAGCATATGAATAAATTTTTTCTTTCTTACATTTTAGCATCTTTCTTGTTTTCCCTGTGATTTTCCCTCGTTATATTCTTCTTCTTATTTTATTTTCTTGGCATCCTTTGTTATATTCTTAACTAGATTTTTCATATTTAATTTTCATTTTACTGCAGCCAAAAGTGTATGTAGGGAGAGGCATGCATGGGGACATCTTTTCACTCCTAAAGTAAGGAAAATGATGTTTTTGGTGATAGTTTCTGCTCTGCTTAAGCTCTTACATTTGTGTGTGCTAGGATTACATGTTCTTTGTTCTGAAATAGAGTTACATTTTCTCATACTCAGGTACACAATGTTTTGGATAATTCTTCTAATTGTCAAGCTAGCATTCAGCTACTATGTTGAGGTAACATATTTTTTTAATTTTATTTTTCATTACCTATTACTGGACCTCAGAATGTTAGAAATTGACTTTTACTAACATATGAGTTCAGCTACCATAAAAAAAACCCGAGTTCAATTATTGGTGAATACACGTAGTTATCTAATTAATATGTGGGCATCGCCAAAAATCTACTTGTCAAGATCCATGACAATTTGGGAGGAATTTCAATTTAGATTATCCTCATTTGTAACTTACTGTTTAAAATTTTCATGTAAACTTGCAATTAAAAATAAAAAAGCTTAATTATTTAAATTTAGTAATTTCTTCTTTATTTGTTGATCTAAAATACTTGTTTTTTTGAAGCAAACCAAGACTTACAAGGTTTGATATGAGTCATTGTTAAGGTCTCGGATATATACTACAAGGCCATGAAAAAATTTTACACGCACAAAACCTTGGTCTTTCTAGCGCTACTAGTCTGGCTTTGACTTGCATTATTCCCATCGTTTGGGAATCTTTTAGCTGCTTTCACTGATTGTTCATTAATTTTCTTAAAATATCATTCATTCTTTGTTGGAGTCTGTATTTTTGGTGAAGCGAAGTGTAAAAAGAAGAACATATAAGATGTAAGAGGTTTCATTAAATTTAAAAGCAAATAGATAAGTTATTCTTCTTCAGAGAACATGTTAGTTTATTCTAATTTGTGCAAAATTTACTTATCTAATTCAGGTTGTTTCTGAGCTCTATCTACTTGTCTGTTTATAGATATTGCCACTAGTTGAACCAACAAAAGTAATCATGGGGATTCATATAGAAAACTATCTGTTGCCTGAGCTTGTCCCTGGTGGTAATGTACTACCTCTTTTTTCTTCTTCACTTACGCTTTCTTTGTGACTTTTGTGCTGTTTTGTTTATATTTGGCTATAAAATCTACTAATTTGTATTCTGAAACTTTGGTAGCGACTCACAAAATTGGAGTTATTGTTGCAATATGGGGTCCAACAGTCCTAGTATGTGAGCAATAAATTTCAGAATGGCAAATTTTGTGCAAGAGTTTTTTCTTGTTTTTATCCTCTAAGTTGAACCATTATCTAAGTGTTGTCTTTGTGCACACAGGTTTATTTCATGGATGCTCAAATATGGTATGCCATATTTTCTGCTCTTTTAGGGGGTATTCTTGGAGTGTTCAGACATTTGGGTGAGGTATGTAGTTGCTTTGTTCTCAGACCATTTGGAAACTTTTGAACACCTAGCGGTATTGTAATACACTTTCATCTGTTATTATGGGTTTATTATGAAAGAGAAACATGGTTCTGTTTCCATCTTGCTTCTCCAAAAGTTATGTTTTATTTTATATAGGTTCTAGATATCTTCCCTTTGATTCTTTGCTCAATTTCTTAGATAAGGACACTTAGTATGTTGCGGATCAGATTCCAATCCATGCCTTCAGCTTTTAGCTACCGTTTCGTGCCATCATCAAGTCAGGATACAAAATTGAAGCACATGGTAAAGCCAATCATAACCAAGCTAATGCCTATAAAATTTGTAATTTGTTTGGAAATTTTTGTTCATTTTTCTAATTGGCATACCTATGATGAATTCATATACATGATTTTTAAGATCCTTTTTACTCTTCACATCTTGTCTTCATTTGGCTAATATATGCACTTCACTGCAGCAGGATAGATCAAGTAAACCCAAGAACAATCCCAATTTTTCTCAGATGTGGAATGAGTTCATACATTCCATGCGAATGGAGGATCTAATCAGCAATAGGTCAATGCCTTTTCTTGATATTAAATTGATATATGCATTAATCATTATATATATTTAATATTTTCCTTCACCCAAATATTTGTCCAGGGAAAAAGATTTCCTACTGTTGCCACACTTTTCAGGTGATGATTCTGCTGCTCAGTGGCCACTCTTCTTGCTAGCTAGTAAGGTAAAGTTTTGAATGGTTTCTCATATTAACTCTTATGCTTGATTCATTTGTAGTTGAAATATATTTTTCTGCCATAATATTACAGATTCCTGCGGCATTAAACATGGCAAAAGATTTTAAGGGGAAGCATTCTGAATTAGTTAAGATGATTAAGAGCGATGACTATATGCATTCTGCAATAACTGAATGTTATGAGACCCTCAATCATCTTATAGATGGCCTTTTGGAAGATGAAGCTGATAAGAAGTAAGGAAGAAACGTTATTGTTACCTTGAAATCAGTTCCCTTCTTGCCAAGGTTTTAGATCCCTAGATTATTTGCTTTTTCTTCATGTGGAATAGGACTATAAAGAAGATCAATGACCATATAGAAATGAGTATTCGAGAGAAGAAGTTTCCTGAAAAATTCAAGATGAGTGGGTTGCCTTTGCTTGGTGTTAAATTGGATAAGTTTCTATACATCTTGGTAATTAAGCTATCATATTTTTTTAGTTTTATTTATTTATTATTTTGTATTTCTATTCCAAATCTCCTCATCCTTTTAATTATTAGTGGGCACTTAAGCACGTTTGTTAGTATGGAACAGATGACTGATTGTGAGGATGATGGAGTATGCAAGGCCCAGATAACCAAAGCTCTCCAAAGTATCATGGATACCATTCAACATGATGTTATGGTTGATAGCCAGAGGTAAGAATTGACTATATCAAGCGTGTGATGGATGAACTCTCTCTTTCTTTCTATGTGAATAATTAAAAATGAAGAAAACAATTACAGAAAAAACAATAGAGAAGTTATTTAATAGCAAAAAGGTAAAGGAAAGCTATATGCCCGTCTTAGGTGGGAAAATCCTGAACTTTTCCTTTCCTTCTTTATGAATTATTAAAACAAGAAAACAACTATGGCAAAAAGGATGGATAAGCTATTAAATAGGCCTGTCTAAGGTGGGAAAATCCTCCATTGGTTAAAAGGAAAAACCTATGGTCATGTAAATAAGATTGCCTCTCCACCTATTGTCAACTGATTTTAAGCTAGATACCCTAAAATTGTATCAGAGTCCAAGCCTTGTTTCTTGTTAAGCCCATTGTCGGGGGTGTGTTAAGTGGGAGAAAACCTGTGCACTTGTGAATAATAAGATTGAGCCCTTTACCTATTGCTAGTTGATTTTTGGTTGATACCCTGACTGTCTTCTTAGTAGTTTGAACCTTTTAGGCAAAAACTATTCATGGCAAGATCAATGTCTCCAAAAGTTAACAGAGGTTCCTCAGTTTGCACAGTGTTAGTGTCTGTAATTAACTTGATTCTTCTGAAGGCTATATTATCTTTGGTTTGATTGAAGGATCTCTAAGAATTAATTTAAAGTGTGTACTTTAAATTCAATATGTAGTAATAAAGTGACTTCTTTCTATGCCAATCCACTTCAACTTCTCTTTAAGAGAACTTCTTGTACTGCTAACAGAGAATTAAACACTAATTTTCTGTATCACTTTTTTTTTTTATTTTTTTAATGTTTCAGGGTCCTTGAAGGAGTTCAGGAACCTGGTCACAGTGCTCAGCATCAGAAGGAAAAGCAGAGTTTTGAAAAGATAAATTTTCATAATACAGAGGTCAAATTTGGGAGGGAGAAGGTATTTACACTTATTTCTTCAAACTATCATTAAAAAAAGTTTAAACAGAGATCATCAGCTTCTCATTCCATTCTACATTTCTCTAGGTCAAAAGGCTTCATTTGCTTTTGACTGTGAAAGAATCTGCCGAAAATGTGCCTCAGAATTTAGAGGCTCGCCGCCGCATCACTTTCTTTGCCAACTCCATATTTATGTCTATGCCAAGGGCTCCAAAAGTTAGTGACATGCACTCCTTCAGGTCAGCAAATACAACCAATTTGATTGTAGTTTATATGTTTTTCCTTCTTTTGAGCTTGTGATTTTCAATAGGGAAGGATTAATAAATCTTGCATCCTATGTTGAATCACATTATTGTTTCTCTGTTATCTTTAGCTTGATTCACACAAATTATTATAATCTGTTAATTATTATTGTTGGTCAGAAATTATGTTCTTTCTACGCTAACATGAATCCACTCCCTACCTTACGGCTTTAGTGTTTTGATACCATATTACAAAGAAGAAGTCATTTTCTCTGATGAGGAACTTAATAAAGAAACTGAGGATGGGATCTCAATTTTGTTCTACTTGCGGAAGATATACCCAGGTGGTTTCTAGATGCACTGCTCCATATGTTTTTTCACAATTTGAAATAGTTTGTGAACTTATTAAGCTGATATTGTCTGCAAATTAGATGAATGGACCAATTTCCAGGAACGCCTGAATAAAAATGACAAAGAGGAAATTTGTAAGTGGGCATCTTACAGGGGACAGACACTAGCCAGATCAGGTCTGAATAAATGATGGTTATTTAGCTTCCAGATATTTATTAAATAGATATTTAATTATCCAATAAAGCTATGTAATTTGTCATTTTGTTTTTGCCAGTGCGAGGGATGATGTACTATAGGAATGCTCTAGAGCTTCAATGCTCTGTTGAATTCAACGATAATGGTTTGTGGTTCCTTAACACTAACATTGTTTTCCAAATCGTAATCTATGTTACACTTCAATACTTTTTGGGATCCAGGACATCCAAATATTAGTGCAACATTGTTTAATTGTTTATTGATATCTTTGCAGCTGTATTTAATGAGGATTATACTCGAATGCAAGCTTTGCCTGATTTGAAATTCTCCTTTGTTGTTTCCTGTCAAATCTATGGTGCTTTAAAAAGTTCTGATGATCCTAGAGATCAGAGTCGTCAAAAGGATATCCAAAAACTCATGTTGATGTAAGGTTACCACACAATTTTATATTTTTTGCCTAAGTTCTCAGTGCTGGCTTTTTAATGCTCTGCACAGTGCTGGTTTTTTAATGCTCTGCTCAGTGCTGGTTTTTTAATGGTCTGCTTGCTGATGCAAAATTATTTAGGTATCCATCTTTACGTGTAGCTTACATTGATGAAAGAGAGGAGACTGTGAATGGAAAACCTAGAAAGGTTTATTACTCTGTTCTTATCAAAGGAGGTGAAAAGTTTGATGACTATGAGAGAGTAAGTGCTGATTTGATATGGAGTTATTTCTGTTCAATTTATTTAATAATTTGTTTTAGTTTTATTTACTGACAAGTTTGGTGATTGAAATCCCATTATGCTCTCTCCTATTTTCGTTTTTGAGAATAATTCTTATAGGCCACTAAGTTTGGGAAAAACGCATAAACATATAAATAGTGTGTGGCAAGAGGGTTTATGGGGCAATGGAGTTTAGGTAACCCAGGTGACATGACCCATTAATGTCACAATTATCAAACTCAAATGGTCATTGACTTCGTTAGGGATGAGGGTCAACAAGTTATGGTTCAACCAGTGGGTCAATGGTTGAACGGGAATAACAAAATTTAAATAAATTAATTAAAATTAAAAATAATTAAAATGTAAATAGTATTTTGATAAATATTAAAAAAACTTATAATTTAAACTAGCCATTCATTAAAAAATTCCAAACAACAAGATACCGAGAAAATAACAACTAACAAAATTCACTAAATAAGAACTAAACAGGAAGAAATACATTGAACACCAACAACTTGAATAGCCATGTCCATAAAAAATAAAGTTTCAACTCCACAATTAAAACAAAATGCAAATCCACATGCAACATACTGTCACATAATCAAAGCAATCCCTCATGATAATGTCATATAGAAAAACAACATAACAAGTTATCATAGTTATTAATAATATAAAACAAATAATTTTGTAATTTAATTTTCTTGTGGCATTGTGGGGAGTTATTTGTAATGAGACTCTAATGATTTTGTTTTGATATGAATAACATATTGAAGTTTTAGGGTCGAACCTTAATTTTGATGAAGGGAAAATTGTATGAGTTGACCTATTTTAAATACAATACTGCTACAGTTACAATACCATATAGGATTGTAAGCTTACAATTATGAAATAGCATTAAATAAATGTGACTTGTCATTAAATGAATAGATGCATACAATGTCACAGGTGGACACTTATATAACAACATATCATATTGTAAGTTTACAATGCCACATGGCATTGTAACTATATCATTTTGATAAAGGAAAATAATCTCCTAAGATACAGCTATTTACATATTAACTAGAGGAGATATTTCAGGGATTCTAACAAGGAGAGATTGTAGGGATTCTAAGAGATATATATACATGTCTTGTTGTACAAAACCTACAAATTTGTTCATATAAATCTGCTAACAATCCGTGTGAATCCTTATCAGCAACTCATTTCAACACATTCAACACTCCCCCTCTAGCTGCTTGTATATGTCATATGCACCAAACTTACAACAAAAGTAATCAATTCTTGGTCCTTGGAGTGACTTAGTGAAGACATCTGCTAATTGATCATTCGAATTAATGAACAAAGTAGTAATGTCTCTAGAAAGAAGCTTCTCTCTAAAATAATGACAATTAATCTCTATGTGCTTAGTGCTTAATCCTTTCATGAAAGACCAGATAAGAGGCAATTGCAAAGCTGCTTGATTGTCATACTAGCTTCAAGGGCCATACCTTATAAAACTTTAGCTCTTGAATCAAGTGTTTCTGCCATATCAATTCACATGTCCCTAGTGCCGTGGTCCCTTTATTTGGCTTCTGCACTTGTCTTGTAGCTGTTACTTATCTGTGAAATAAGATTGCCACCAATAAGAAACTAAGGATGCAATATCCAGATGTAGATTGTGTGTCAGTGGGACAACTTGAGTGTGTCCCTTGTTTTCATTTAGCAATCCTTTACCTGGTGAACTTTTAATATATTTGAGTATTCTTACTACTGCATTCCAATGACTTTCACAAGAAGCATTGAGAAACTGGCTTACCACACTCACAGCATATGAGATGTCAGTACTTATGACTGAGATAATTCAACTTTGCAACCAACCAAAGATATCTTTCAGGATCTGGTTAAAGCTTCACATTGGGATCCATTGAGGTATCCATGGGTTTGGAGTTCATCATACCCCTTTCTTCAAAATATCAAGAGCATACTTTCTTTAAGGAATAAAGATATCAGTACCTAACTGTGTTACCTCAATCCCAAGGTGGTATGGAAGCTTGCCCAGATCTTTGGTCTAAAAATGACTGAACAAGTGTTGCTTCTATTGGTTGATACAATCATGATCATTTCTTTAAGTAACGATATCATCCACATACACAATTAGATAGATGCAATGAGATGGTGTGTAACATCCCTCTTTTTAGTTCATCAAGTAGAGAAATGTCCTACACATGATAAGAAAAAAAAAAAAAAAGAAGAAAAATATCTATAGGATCAAAAGGCTTATTTTATATACAATTCCTAGGCTCAAGATCAATATAAAATAGATTGAAAATTGACAGAGTCAACCATAGTTTTAAGCAGATATAGATTTGTCTTACTGACTAGTGCTCACTGTTAGCATAGGACATCCACCAAAAGTCTTAGGAAACAGCAGCTACTCCTCATTCCTACTATCTGAAATAGTGGAATAAACTCCATGAGTTCACAGCCCAGTAAGGCATAATTCTTAGCCACAAGTTAAGCTAATAATCTTTACTTAGTTCATTGTGCAGAAAAGTATCATTACTTTCTAACAATGCTGGTATTACTAATAATTTAGACAATTAGCCATAGAACAATCACACAACACAGCACATTAAACAGATTTAACATTGACTATGGAATCCACTGAATGTGCATGCACTCACATTAGGTGCCAAAGCTAGTCATAGCACTTACTGTGCAGAGGTCCACTAGTTCACTGTTCTAACCGCCAAGCCTAAGTTGTAGTCCAAACTCTCCATAGTTCTAAAGAAATTATACCACAGAAACATAGATGGTATAGAAACATGCTTTACATGTTCAACAATTAATGTCGTTTGTAGAACCACAAAGAAAACAGGCATGGCATGAAAATTTCAGAATTTAACTCATTAAAATGTAGTAAATCTTAGTTCCAGCCCCTAGTAGTCTAGTTTTGTAACATCCCTTTTTCTGATAAACAAGAGGTTTATCAAGTAGGGAGATGTACCGCACAACTAAGGAAAAATAAGTGTAGAAAATATCTATAAAATCCAAAGGTTCATTTTATATACTATTTCCAGGCTCAATACAGTACAAAATAGGTTTAAAATTATAGAGCCAAATGAAAGTTTTGAGCAGATACAGATTTGCCTTATTGATATTTGAAGCACAGCTTACAGTTAGCATATGATCTCCACGCACAAAAATTCTTAAGGATAACAGCTACTCTTCGCTGTTACTATTTGAAATAGTGGGAAAAACACCAAGAGCTCACAGCTCAGTAAGCATAATTCTAAGTTAAGTTGACAATCTAATCTTAGTATTTTATGTAGAAAAATTCCTTTAGTTCTTAGTTGTGCCAACCTTGTAGAAAATTAAGGCATTGCAGCCACAAATGATCACACGAACACAGCACATCAAAATAGAAATAACACAAACTATGGAGTCCACTGAATGTGCATGCACTCACATTAGGTGCTAGAGTTAATCATAACACTTACCCACTACACAGAAGTTCACTAATTCACTGTTCTAACCCCCAAGCTTAGGCTGGGGTCCAAACTCTCCATAGTTTTAAGACACTTGCATAACAGCATCATATATAACACATAATCATGCATAACAATTTTCAATGTTTACTTAATATGGTCTGTAGAACTAATAGAAATAGACTATAATGAAGTGCCCAGGTCAAATACACAGGATATAGTCCAGAAAAGGTGATACACAACATATTAATCTCACAATTTGAACTGTAAAGATTTTATAGTTTCAACATAAGAGATTTCTAGTTCAACTTACTGCTGTATTTATTTCTCTTTTATTATATAATTTAAATTACAGCAGTCTAATTTCTTATGCTTATTCTATTGTTTTATTTACTTTTAAATTTGTTTGACAACGTTAACTTAAAATTAAGAATCACAGTTACCACACTTTCTTCAAAATCTTGAGCTTGGGAGAATTCTTCAATATTCCCCAAATTTGCCCAGCCTATCTGCACCATATCTCTCCTTCTCCTTTGGTTCAGCTAGCAGCAAAATGACAGGAAAATGACTAACTTAATTAGATAATCCCAAATCTCTTGTCAAATGGGTCTTAAATGCTCTCCACTTGGCCCACTTCTCATTCAACCACTTGGCATTTATTCTAACAGATTATGGACAGCTGGACTGCACTAAATCTCCCTAAAATAGAAACCTGGTCTGTAGTTACTAAAATAATATGCAGATCCCATAATTACAATTATTATAGATTAGTCCCTAATTCTAGATGAGATAAAGGACTCTAACTTAAACTTAATCCAAATAAGGGCTTATTCTCCTTAACTTATTGCAAATAAGGACTGTGATATCACAAGTTTAAATCTTATTCTTACTGTCCTCACAATTAATTTCACTAAGAAATTGGCTCTGTGCAGGTTATTCTAATTAAATCATACTTTCTTTACTTATTGCAGTCTTTAAGTTGTAGAGCTTGAACTGCAGTATCATAATTTCTTTGTTTACTCTGTCTATCTTATATTTATTCCTCTTTTTTCATGTTTGACAGCCTAAGCTTAAAGTTAAGAGTCATGCTTACCCAACACACTTGTTCAAAATTCTGGGCTTGACAGGGTTTCTTCAAGAATCTCCAAGTCTGCCCAGTATTTCTGCACCTTCTTTCTTCTTCCCTTTCGGTCCAGCTAGAGCCAAAAATGCAGAAAAATGACTAGTTCAGTGTGTTTTAATTGCTCCCCACTTGGTCCACTTCTCATCCAAACACCTGTCATTGATTCTAACAGGTTATAGAAAGTTGGATTCCACTAAACTCTAGGCACCTGGTCTACAATTTATTAAAATAACATGCAATCCCATAATTAACAATTATTATAGATTAGTCCCTAATTCTAGATGAAATGAAGGACTAACTTTAGACGCAATGCAAATAAGGACCTTTTTTTTTTTTTTTTTTTTAACTAATTTCAGATAAAGGACTGGGATTTCACATGGTGGGTGGCAGTAGAACACAAAATGATCATTTTCACTTTGAATCATATCAAAATCCCATATGACCTTATTGAACCTTCCAAACCATGCTCGTGGAAACTGTTTTCGACCATAAAAAGACTTCTGCAATCAACAAACTAGACCCTCAGCAACAAAGCCTGCAGTTTTTCCATATAATCTTCCTCTTCTAAATTGCCATGCAGGAAGGCATTTTTAATGTCCAATTAATCTAGAGGCCAATGGCAATTAGTGCCATGTATATGAACAAGCAGACAGAAGAAATCTTAGCAACATGGGAGATATTGTCACCATAGAAAAAACCAAAAATTTGAGAGCGGCCTTTTGCTATAAGGCAAACTTTCAATCTACCCACCTTTCCATCTAGTCCAATGCTAACCTGTCAATTTATCGGGAGGCAAATGTGTAGCATCCCTTTTTGGTAAACCTTTTTGGTTTATTAAATAGGGAAATGTGCTGCACAAGATAAAAAAAACAGCAGGAAATATCTATAGAAAAAGATTGCAGTGGAAGTAAAACCTCTCCTAATATAAAATCTTTCCTTATGAGAAAGACCTACTTTCAAATCAATTTAAGACTTTATAGAAAGAAAATTAATTACTTGTAAAGAAAAACTAATTTAATGAAAAATATCAAAATACTCAGTCGTAAAATAAACTAGGCTAAGTCCATTTTGATTGACTTAAATATTATATATAAAAGCAATTTACACAAGAATACATAAGAGCAAATGCTTTTTCAAAGCTTTCTAAAATAATAAAAGCAAAATCCTCGTTTTGGTAACACATTAATCTGTTCATATCAAAAGCCCAAAGGTCCTAGCTTCTACGTACAAGGAGCACATGGGACCTATACTAAGTGCCTGTTTGGTGCAGATTGTGAAAAGAGCTTTTTGGCTCTAAAAGCACAAGCTGCACCAAACAGGGTAGCTTCTCAAACGTGCTGGAGCTTCCCAGAAGCACATCTTCTCCCCATTCCTTTGCAAATCCCGGAAGCACCAATTTCGTGCTTCCGCGGGAGCTTCTCGCTTCATGTTTAATGAAATTGATATGGTCTTCCCATTTTATCCTCACACTTCCTTTTATTTACGAAAAAACTACTATATAAGGGTCCAATTTATAACATCACCCATCACCAAGCAGCCCAGGCACATCTGTTCTCTTCTTCCTCATCCAATCAGAGAAACAAATAAAAAATACTTAACTATCTTCTTAACTATCTTATTCCTCATCCAATCAAAGAAACAAACCGAAAATACTTACCGTATTCTTCCTCGTCTTCTTTCCCCCTAAACTGAAAATCCCTCATCTT